ATCATCAATCATCCATCAGCATCATCGTCGTCGTCGTCCTCGTCATCATCATCAGCATCATCACCACCACCACCATCGACATCACCATCAGCATCACCATCATCATCATCATCAGCATCATCATCATCATAATCGTCATCATGCGCATCATCATCATCATCATCATCATCATCATCATCAGAATCACCATCACCATCATCATCATCATCATCATCATCATCATCATCAGCATCATCCTCATCCTCATCCTCATCCCCCCTCCTCCTCCTCCTCGCCAGCATCGCAGGGAGGCCCATATTCAGCGCAGGTACAGAGCAACCACTCTCGTATCCTTGGGGCCGCCGCGAGGAATCGTGGGCCGACCGAGGAGGACAGCTGGAGTCGGATACGCACTGGGGTCTGTGAGGAAAGCTCCAGAATTGAGGTCAAAACAATGCTGGAGTTTAGGGCACGGAGGCTGGTTCACAGTCCGATGTTGCATGTGTCCTTCTGCAGAGAGGTGATCGTCCTGATACGTCTTGGCGCACGGGTGAAAGCAACCGGCATTTGGGGGGGACGACTCGCTACATTAAACCAGCCTAGGGCCCACGGAAAGCTGAGGGCGACATCAATGTCGCCGTCGTCATCGCCGTCACCGCCGCTGCTTCTGCCGTCGTGGCCGCCCGTAAGGTGATCTTCGCAGTGGGCATCGCCGCCGGCCGCCACTGTCGGCGTCGCCGTCACCGCCATCGACGTCGGCGTCACCGTCACTGTCGGTCCTGCCATCGACGTCGGCGTCACCGTCGTCGCAGACGGACTGCGGCCATCGCGAACGTTGTCCCAGCTATTACCAGCCTGGAACATATCCCTTTCCCTATGCTGGGCACCTCCTCATCACGATGCCAATCTTAGGGATTCCCTTAGTTTTTCAGGGCGCATCCCTAAGATTGTCATCGCCTTTTGGCGTGTCAATCTTAGGGATAGGGATACGTTCGAGGCTGGTGAAGTCAGGGGAACGAGCAATGACACAGAAGTAAAAACTCTGTGGTCCGCGCGGATCTCTCGGATGTGCCGCTGCTCCACAGGCCTCTCCTGGGGTGCGTTCTGACCAGGACTTCGAGGCGAATCCAGGGGTGGCGACGAGGGCCCCCCCGGAGGCCCCCAAAAGGGGAAAACGGCCGTAGGGGTAGAGATATGGGCTTGTCCTCCTCTGATCGGGAAGGTTTTACACGCAGAAAGCATCTATACACCACCACCGTGCCAGGCCAGGGTCATCCTGGGCCGTAGGATGGTGTATACGCCCTCCTGGCCGAGCCAGGAGGGTCTATACACCATCCTACGGCCCAGGATGACCCTGGCCTGGCACGGTGGTGGTGTATAGATGCCTTCGTCGGATGTTACGAAGATTCCCCAAAAACCTTCACGAGGAAGGTTGTACGGAGGTTTCTAGGAGGATTCCTCCAGGCACCTTCGAAAACATTCCTGGGGAGGGTTTTAGGAAGGCTTTCAGGAGGGGAAGGTTCTGAGGAGGATTCCCCCGAAAAAACTTCAAACAACCTTCCTGAGAAATGTTGCCCCAGTCTCCCACGCGGACATCTCCGCCACCAGCAGTCGGATCGCAAGCGGCAGTGGATTCCGCCGCGCCCGCTACTCCGCAGGCCTCTCCCGGGGTGCGTTCTAACCAGGATTTCGACGCGAATCCAGCGGTGGCGACGAGGGCCTCCCAGGAAGCCCAAGAAGGCGAAACCGAGGCAAGGTGTAGCGGTGATCGAGGCTATAAAGTAGGTTGGAGCACCATAGCCCCAGTCTCCCACGCGGGCATCTCCGCCACCAGCAGTCGGATCACAAGCGGCACTGGATTCCGCCGCGCCCCGCTACTCCGCAGGCCTCTTTTTGTCCACCTTTTCCTCCTTATCGGTAAATCCTTTTCCCCCCCTTTCGGTAAATCCTAAGTTCCTTGATTTTGACGAACGAACAACACACACCCATACCCATAGGAGGGTTGGAAGGAGGAGGACCGGCTATGGGTATGGGTGCGAGTTGTCGGACCCTGGGGGAAGCTCTCGTTCGTGCGGGGACCCCCATCCGACAACACGCACCCATAGCCCCCTCCGTCCCCCCTATGGGTATGGGTGCGTGTTGTTCGTTCGTCAGATTCGGGCGTTTGGATTTAGCCGCCGTCTCCCACGCGGGCATCTCCGCCACCAGCAGTCGAATCGCAAGCGGCACTGGATTCCGCCGCGCCCTGCCACTCCGCAGGCCTCTTTTTGTCCACCTTCTCCCCCTGTTCGGTACATCCTTTTCCCCCCTTTTCGGCAAATCCTAAATTCCTTGATTTGGGCTTTTGTGACTACCTACCAGACCACCCCAACCCAACCCGAATTCCCGAATTTCGGGTTGGGGGGGGTAAGGGTTCCACATGTGTTTTTCCGATGTTCCCCGCCCCCCCCACTGGAAATCGAGGGTAAATCTGAGCCTTCGGGTTGAGTAGGGGTGGTTAGGTGGGTGGTGAGCTTTTGGATTAGCCCCCGTCTCCCACGCGGGCATCTCCGCCACCAGCAGTCGGATCGCAAGCGGCACCGCACTCCGCACGCCTCGGCCAGCCTGCCGCTCGGCGCCGGGGCTGCGCGCGACGCCCGGCGGGCCGCCGCTGCGCAGCCTCGCGGGGCCACCCCGAGCGAGCCGCGGACAGGATGCCGGGGCTCGATCCGCCACAGGACGACGCCTCGCCCACATACCTCCTCCTCCTCCTCCTCCTCCTCCTCCTCCTCCTCCTCCTCCTCGTCCTCGTCCCTCCTCCTCCTCCTCCTCCTCCTCCTCCTCCTCGTCCTCCTCCTCGTCCTCCTCCTCCTCCTCCTCCTCCTCGTCCTCCTCCTCCTCCTCCGCCTTCGCCTCCGCCTCCGCCTCCGCCTCCGCCTTCGCCTCCGCCCGTCCACGTACCCATCGGTCGGACGAAGTAGGTCGAAACATGTAGTAGGAAGGCGTTGAAAGTAGATCGAGTGCCCGCCCGCCCCTATAAGGAGGACGAAAGAGGTGAAGCCACTCGATCCTTGAAGTAGGAAGGCGCTTAGAGTAGACTGGAATCTGGGAATCCAAAAATACGTACTCTGGGTTTCTGAATAAGCGTGGGGCGTACCCCCCCGACGGGGGTCAACCTCGCCTCGTCGTCGCGCCGCGACGGGGGTCGGAGCGCCTTCAGCGCGCGGTTGCTGCCCGCCACGGGGTTCGATGTGGGGCTGTCGACAGGGGTGACGCTCCCCCGACGCGTGTTTAAGAAACTCGGAGTACTTTCAACGACCGATGTGTACCCCAGAATCATCTAAACACTGGTGGCTCCGAGCTTGCAAGTGGTGCGGCCGAGGCGGGGCGAGCTCTCCTCCGCGCGTGCGGCGCATCCCAATGCCTCACAGAGGGCTCGCACGACGCGGCTCGCGTCCAGGATCGCACTAGCAGAATCAGATACGCAGAAGGCATCTATACACCACCACCGTGCCAAGCCAGGGCCGTCCTGGCCCTGGCATGGTGTGTACTCCGGATTCCATAACAAAGTGGGGGGGGTCACATTCGGGGGGGGGTCTAATTTGAGCTGTCTTGGAGGGTTCGGGGGGGTCTAGGCAAAAGGCCAGCCTTTCATGGATAGTCTGGGGGGTCTAAAACTTCTCGTCTGGGAGGGTTGTGACCCCCTCCCTTTTATAACGAAATCTGGTGTACGCCCTCCTGGCCGAGGCCAGGAGGGTCTATACACCATCCTAGGGACCAGGATGGCCATGGCCTGGCACGGTGGCTGCGTATAGACTTAGTATAGACGCCTTCGTCGGATCAGAGGCACCGAAAATTCCCTGTCTAGTGCGCGTCATGCTAGAATGAGCCTGGCACGACCCCAATTACAGTGGGGGTCCGGCCGCAGGAAACCTTCCACAAGAGACCCGACCACGAGACCCCAAGACGTCCATCGATGCTTGGTGTGGGAACGTCGCGGTTTCCAGAGCAAAACCATCGAAACCCAAGAACCCCAGGGCACCCTGGAGCCAAGCACGGTGTTTCTTGGCATGGGTCTCCACTGTAGGGGCATTCGTCCTTCCAGCCCCGCCCAAAGCAGTTCTGAGCAGTGCAGCATAATTTGAGCAGTTCTGAGCAGTTCTGAACACTGATTGGAATTGCCACTTGGCATTTCTTGGCGTTGCCTGGAATTGCTTGACACACTGCCTTGAAACAAAATGCACGCGCTGTCACGCCGATTGGCGGAGCATGTGCAGGATTGCCAAGCTCGCTTTGTAAAAGGGTACCTGATCAATATTTGGGGATGCCATCTGAGAAGTACTGTACACTCTGACACTACAAGAAACGGGGAACGACGGCAGACGGAGAGAAAGCAACCTTCAAACATGATGCCCTCAAAGACCAACACATGTTCCTCATCAGCTCGCAGCAGTTCTGACAACACGCACTGGAAACAAATTATTGGTCACGCACGGGCCTCGCGCCATGGCCCTGGCTCTGCAAGCACTGCCTCAAGGCGAAGAGAGCCGCTGTCCGGCTGTCGACCTTCCGTCGGAGCCAACATCAGAGGCTGCATGCAGGAGGAATCTTGCTTTCAATCAGCATGCACGGTGTAAAATGTCCTTCATTCACCCCCTTCCCTCTGCCTCATCCTAGCACCCATCTCGTTTTGCAAATCTTGTCTCTCCTGCTCTGGCTCTAGCTTCTACTCCTATTACTGTGACTCCCCCCATGCTCCTGCTCCTTGTCCGATTCCTCCTGATGCAACTCCTCCTCGACCACAATGCGTTTAAGTCCCACGGAAGCTAGCCCCGCGTGCGCCCTGGCAGGTGCGTGACAGGAACTCACTGATAGCCTTAGCGTTCCTGATTTTGAAGCGACATGACACCTGCCAACAGCACCCACAACAACCGAAGCCCTGGGCTCCCAAATCCGACCTCGGGCCGATGCGAGCGGCACCACACGGCTCTGCGCAACCGCATTCAATAGCGCTGCAAGACGTGCGACACTCCACACCTTTCCGTGGCATACCCCTGCGCGCAGAATGCGCCAAACTGCACAGCACCAGATGCGACGCCTCCCCACCTGGCACCGAAAACATCCGACCTCAGGATGCACTTCGCACAACGCCGCAAGGCCCTGACATCGCATATCACCGTGTCACTGGACAGCACACAAAACACCGCTGTACGGCAGCGAGCAACCACGACACATTGCCAAAAGAGGCTCCGAAAGCGTCTGTTACGACACTACACATAGCACCACGCACGCGGTACCAAGCACATGGCACTGAGACGCGGCACTGCAATCACAGCAACACGCGCACAACACCACGCACAGGGCACCTTCCAGACAGCATCAACCGTACTGCAGCTCCCGCATGGTTCCTGCAAACGCTCCACGAGCGAAAGGTACACCCTTGGATGAGCGGCTGATGAGGAACACACGGATCGGGCGACGTGAACGGACCATCTCACCGATCTTGACTGGGCCCGTGCTTGGCCCAAGATCGGTGCGCATGCCCCCCCGGCTTGGTCGGGGAGGCGCAGGACACCGATCCCGAGGTGGTCCTTTGGCGCTCTCCGACGCGACACCTGTGGTGGGCGCGCCCCGCGCAACAGGGGGCAGAGGGGGCACCTCGCCCCGACGCGGCCCGAAGAAAAGCGCGACAGGGCAGGAGCTGCGACGGCACGATGGGTCAAGCCCTTCGAGCTCTGTCCACACCTCCTCCTCCTCCTCCTCCTCCTCCTCCTCCTCCTCCTCCTCCTCCTCCTCCTCCTCCTCCGCCTCCGCCTCCGCCTCCGCCTCCGCCTCTGCCTCCTCCACCTCCGCCTCCTCCTCCCCCTCCTCCTTGCGGCGGACGGCAAGACTGCTGACAGCTGCGCCTCGAGGTTCCAGCTCGCCACGCCCCTCCAATTCATTCCCTCTCTGTGTCCTGCCGCCGTGCTGCCACTCTCTGACACCTGCCACGTAGGCGGCAGGGGCCGCAGAATCTTACGTGTCAGAGCCATGGAGCCCCACGACGTCATCTTGGCACGGCATTACCATCTATTAACGGCCAGTGACGCCCAGTACCGCCTATTGCCGCTCGCCCTCACTTGTCGTTACTCTCCCTACGTTACTCGCCGCCAATTACCGTTCACCTCCACTTCGGCATTGGATTCCGAATCCAATACCGAAGCCGCAAACGATCAGTAGCAGGCGCACTAGGAGCACAAGCCGTATCCGCCACCGCGCCTGCAGTGGTTGGTGTGTATCGGGCCCTCGTATGTTTCCATGTGCTTGGATCTTCCGAAGCAGTAGCTATGCCCACACCGACGCGGCAAGTCCAACATGGCTCATGTTTCGGAGAAACAGCCCTTGTGCGCATGGTGCCATGCATGATCAATAGTGGGTGCGGGCGGATTCCATGGCACCTACACCTCAGCCCCCGCCTCCCCCCTCCTCAGGCGGCGCAGCTGGATAAGCAGCAGCAGCGGCAGCAGCGCAAGCAATGAGCCTCCCTCTCTCAGGCCCCCAGGCGCCTGCGGCAGCGCGCCACCGATGTGCCCGAGCGGCGACGAGCTGTCTCGCTCTCGTCCGCAGACGCTCGGGGGGAGGCCGAAGGGAGTCTTCTAGTGGACGGCCCTGCCCCTACCGCCCGGGTCTGTCTCCTGGGGTTCCTCGAGGGTCACCTGGGTTCCGTGGGTTCCTCGACGTGGTCATTGGGCTCCTTGTGCTTCTCGGGCTCCCTGCCGTGTGCTGCATTACTAGGCATGTCGCTGCACTGTTTTGCTCTGCGCGTTGCATCGCTTTACAGTTGTTTGATGCCATGCCCTTTGAGCTGAATCGCATTGCATTGCTGCACTGTGAAGTCAAGTGGACAGCGATTGACGTTGCAATTCCCTTCGGTGTGCCCTACATTGATGTGCGTTGCACTGCAGCGCATTGCATGTGCGTGTAATTGCTGTGGTCTGTCTTTCATTGATTACGTTGCTTGGCACTGCCGACGCTTTGCGGTGCTGTATGTTTATTTGCCATGTTGATGTGGGTCGGTGTGCTTTGATGTGGATTGGTTTGCCTTGCATGGGTGGCATTCTGACAGAGTGTATGATGGAACGCCTTGCATTGAATTGCATGGAGTTTCAACGTGTTGCACTGATGAGGGCAAAACACAGCAGAATATGGCACAATGCATCCTCGGGATGCCTTCCGTTTGCCCACAGCTGAACCTTCCGTCATGCCTGCAGTCTGCCTGAGAGCCTCCCTTCAGAATGAACTCAACAGGATTTGGAGCAGCATTGCGCTCACAATGACGTAAGCCGTCTGAGCCCTGAATTTTGAGCCAATAACTGATGCGATCCTCAGTATCACACAGCGGCCCTATATTAGGACAACCCTTACTTCTGACTTCTGGGAGAGCGGGAGATAGATAACTGGACAGAAACAGGAACAAAGTGAGCGTTTTCTTTTTCGGCGTCTCGACATTGGGCGGAAGGGGGGGGAGGGGGGGTCTGGCTCCCGACCTCTGCTTAATGCGACTGTTTGCAACAGTGAGTCATAGGGAGACTCCACCCGCTCGACAAAAGGCGCCGAAAACAGCAAAGATCTACTCCAGAGGGGGGAGGCGGGAGGGGGACGGTGCGAGGGCCCGCGCCGATCGGCAGAACAATGGCTAAGGAAACGATCACCAAAAATCCGCCGACCCTTTCGGCGCGTGTGTGAGAGGCTTTTCCGTTTCAGTCATCGCCGTCGTCGCCGCTCTCCCGCCCGCGCTCCAGCCAGAGGGAAATCGAGCAACGTCATGACCGAATCAAAAGGAGGCCCCTTCCCTTTGATCCATCACCCGCCGGGGGGGTTACATCAAAAAGGCCCCAGAAGCATGGTTCGCCTGCCCACACACACACACACATCACACGTTTCGCGGCCCCAAAGAGGGCATGATTCGCCTGCCGCCCCCCCCCCTCCATTTTGGCACACCCCTCACACGTTTAGTGGCCCCGTAGGGAGCTCCACCGAAGGCGTCAGTGGCATGATTCGCAGGCCTCTCCCCCGGGTGGGCGTTCTTGGGAGGTCCCGGCGGGGGCCCTGGGGATTGTGAGCCCCCCTCGGGGGGGAGCACGCCTTCATGGGACAAGCTCTCGGCTCCAGGGCGTCGTCGTCGTCGCCGCCGTCGTCGTCGTCTTCGTCGTCGTCAACGACGTCGTCCCTCTTTAGGGTTTGCGTCACCGCCCGTAAGGCATTCGTAGTGGGCAGTTGCAGAGAGATAGCGACGGACGATAACGTAGAGGGAGATAGAAAGAGGGAGAGAGAGAGAGAGAGAGAGAACAAAAAAAAGAGACAGGCTGTGGGAGAAAAGCGATCGGGCCTGGGGCACAGAGGGAGGGGGTCTTTTTGGAGCGGCAAGGGAAACAAAGTCAGGGCGTGGGTGAAGAATGGGCGGGCGGGCCAGAGGAGAATTGAAGACAGCGAAGACGTGGCTTCGGAAGGCCCTCAGAGGGCCTTTCGAAACCGAATCTTGGCTTTCTGGTGTCAGGGTCCTGCCCAGAGCTATGAGGGCCCTGACAATGCCCAAAGCTCCTCTGGGTGAGACGACGATGTGGCACACCGTCAGAAGCTCTCGGGACTACCTGCCCCATGGCCCCCCCCCTCAATGAGTTGGTTCACCAAGCAGGTCGCCGCAGGCACCGCGCCAGGCGGGGCGCTCTCGACCGCTTGCACCAAGCACCTTGGCTCGGCCGGTACGGTGGGCGCAAGGTGGACAGGCCAAGGCACGCAGAACCTCACGGTCCAACCTGCTCCTGCCACTGCTGCCGCTGCAGCCGCTGCTGTCGCGGCCGGTGTTAATAATGGTCGTCATTATCATGACCGTTCCCGTCTGTATTGAGCACCTTGCCTATTGAATCCAGTAGCCCAGGGGCAAGGCTGCAACCAAAGACAAGATATAAGACGACCGCGTGGACCCCGAACGATGAGACAGGATTTCCTCATCACCATCATCATCATCGTCATCATCATCATCATCACCATCATCATCATCATCATCATCATCATCATCATCATCATCATCATCGTCATCATCAGCATCATAATCAGCATCATCATCAGCAGCAGCAGACTTAGCATCAGCATCAGTATCGACAGCATCAGCATCAGCATCAGCATCAGCATCAGCATCAGCATCATCTGCATCGGCATCAGTATCATCATCGACATCATCAGCATTATCAGCATCAACATTATCAGCACAATCACCACCATCAGCATCAGCGTAAACATCATCATCATCAGCATCATCATCATCGGCATCCTCATCCTCATCATCATCCTCATCATCCGAAGCATAATGATCATCAGCATCAACATCCGCACCAGCATCATCATCATCATCATCATCATCATCATCATCATCATCATCATCATCATCATCATCGTTACAATGCTTGTTCACCACAGGCATACCACCAACACCCTTCCCATCAGCATCATCATCATCACCGCCATCATCATCGTCATCACGGTCATCATCATCCGACTCATCGTTACAATCATCAGCATCAGCATCAGTTTCACCAGTAGTGTCATCAGCATCACCAGCATCACCATCATCATCCGCATCATAAACAGCATCAACATCATCATCAACATCAACATCAACTCAATCATCATTGGCATCATCAACAGCACAATACTCGAACTCGTCATCGGCAGCATCAACATGATCGTGATCATCAGCATACTCATCCTCGTCGGCATGATTGGCATCAACAGCATCGTCAGCATCATCATAGTTATCATCATCATCAGCACCATCAGCATCATCGCCATCATTATCGTCATCACCATCATCATCATCAGCAGCATCATTATAGCCATCGCCATCGTAGTCGTCGTCGCCATCGTGGTCAGTATCGTCACCATCGCCATCAGCATCTCCATCATAACCATCGTCCTCGTCGTCGACATCATCGGCATCACCATAATCACCAAGATCATCACCACCATTAGCATCGACGTCATCATAATCATCATCGGCACCGTCGTCGTCGTCGCCAGCAGCAGCAGCAAGACATGAATGGCACGTACCAGGGCAACGGAGGGAACATTAGGACGCTAAGGCTGGTAGGGTCCGTCGGGCAAAACCAGCACAGAAAATGAATGGCGGCGGAGGGCATTGCCAGGGCGCTGGACAGACAGGGACAATCGGGAACAGAGCCAGAAGAAAATACATGGTATTGGCTTCTTGGGGCCTCTTTGGGCTCCTCCTGTAGCCCTCTAGGAAGCGTTGGTTAGGCCTCTGGGGCCGTCTTGAAGCCATGTTGGGCAGATTGGAGGCTCTTGTGCCGTCTCGGTGCCTCTTTGGACCATCTTGGAGGCCTCTTGGAGCGCTCTTGGCCTGGTTCGAGGCCCTGCTGCCTCCGGGGAAACCATGCCTCATCACAGCTCACTGTTCTCACCGGCACGGTGGGGGACAGACAAATCATCACAGCTCACTGCCCAATCATCACAGCTCACCGTTGCTCACCACTTCTAACCACATGTACAGGATCTATCAAAACACATTCACAAGTAATCATATAACAGCCCTGTCGATTTAGATCATGCACGTGGCTTAGATTCGATCGACAGCTAGATAGCCAATCCGGCGCGAACCCAGTCGCAAACCTCCAAACTTCTTCATCACCTAGAGTGTACTATATTTACAGTCAACCCGCATAGTAGGATGAGCAACGTTCTTCTTGAATCCTTCTCCTTCGGCCCGTCCTTAGCAGCTTTCGCTGGCCGCGCCCCGCTCGCAGAGTATCGACTTGGCCTTCCAATGTCCTTGCTTCCTTATCGCGTATCATTACCATACGTGCTGAATGTATACAGATATACATATGCATGCACACGTATACACATATATATATATATGTACACAATCACTCACATAGTAACACAGACACGCGAACACGCATGCATACATTCATACGTTTCCCCATTGATTCAATCAGACATCCATGCATCTATTCACGCACGTACATACGTACATGCATGCATACATACATGCATGCATGCATACATACATATGTACGAACATACGAGCATACATGCATACATACGCACACCCGCATACACATATACTTGCACATGCATGTGTACATATACTTTCGAATGTACATACATGCATCGCTCAAAAAATGCATGTCCATAAACACGTGCATCTACATATTCATATACATGCATATGCATGTACGATACAAGTACAGACACATACGCACATACACATTACCCTGGTGACGCCCAGGCAAGATGCACACGCAAGAGGTACCGCAGGCAAGATGCACGCACAAGAGGCACGCACAAGGCAAGAGGACACAATAGAGAGGCGGGATGAAGGAATGACGTGCGAGCAGTGCTCTATCCGAACCGAATACCCAACCGAGGAGGGTTGGGAACATCAATTCCACTACATGCTTACACACACGAAAATTATATATATATATATACCAATACCTATACATATGTATACACAGATACACATCCATACACATATGCCTATGCATAGACATGCACACATATCTAGCTATACACATACACGTACCAACTTATATAATCATATATATATATATATGCATGCCAGTACACATACACATCTACGTATACACAAATACATGGAACCATTCATGCAAGTGGATGCATACACACATACATACAAGTATACATGCACATGTACAGGTGTTCATACATATGTGTCTGTATGTATGTATAGGCATATACATGCAAACATGCATGCGCATGTACGTATACATCTCCATGTATATGCGCAGGTACCGAGACCTGCATACATAAAACTACTGATGCGTAGACATACGTTTGCAGATCATTCACCTGTAAATATACATCCATACAAATACATAAACGCATATGTATACATATACATGCAGGTGTAGACTTACGCATGCCTGTACATATACATGCACACATACGCATACCGTATAACTATAGTGACACGCTAGAGAACGTAATATGCATACATGAACACCTATTCATACATATACCCATGCATGTATAACATGTTCATGGACATATACGTGAGAACATACGTGCGCATGCACATACACACATACACACACACACATACAATACAAATACATGCCTAACTACAGTATACAAATGTGTATATATAGGTGTGTGTGTGTGTTAGCATGGTCGCCCCCCCTCCCCCCCTGCGATCATGCATCACCCTTCCCCTCCTCATCTGCCTCTTCTTCCTCCTCATCCTCCTCATCCTCCTTCCTCCCCTCCTCCACCTCCTCCTCCTACGATCGCGCCGCCTCCTCCTCCTCCTGCTCCTCATCCTCCTCCTCCTCCTCCCTGCTCCTCCCCCTCTCTCTTCCTCTCTCGTTCTCCCTCTTTCTATGTTTCTGTCGATGTCCCATTCTCGGGACTCTTGCCAGTGCAAAACGTTGCGTTCCCCAGGTTTCCCAAATATTCCGAATCTCCCCAGCGGACCCTCCTGGTGAAAAACCATATGTGTTCCAGATTTCCCAGATATTCCAGATCTCCCCAGAGACCCCCCTGGTGAAACACCTTGCGTGTTCCAGATTTCCCAAATTTGCCACGTCTCCTCAGGGACGAATTTCCAAATTGTCCAGATCTCCCCGGAGACTACCCTGGTGAAAAAACTTGCGTGTTCCCGACTTTCCAGATCTCCCCAGAGACTGACCCTGACCCAAAAAATAATGTGTTTTCCAGATGTTCCAGATTCTTCCAGATCTCCCCAGAGACTACCCTGGTGAAAAACCATGTGTGTTCCCGATTTCCCAGAGTTTCCAAATCTCCCCAGGGACCCCCTGGTGAAATGCCTTGCGTTATCCAGATGTTCAAAATATTCCAGATCTCCCCAGAGACTCCCCTTCCCCTGGTGAAACACCTTGTGCTTTCCAGATTTCCCGAATATGCAAGATTTCCCCAGAGATCACCCTGGTGAAAAACCCCGGGATGTTCCCAGATGTTCCACATGTTCCAAAGATCCTCAAAGACTACACTGGTGAAACACCATGTGTTTTCCAGATTGTCCAGACTTTCGAGATATGTCCAGCAATTCCGCTGCGAGCCCAGGGCAGTCTCTCGAAATACCTTGAGAATCTGGAAAATCGGGAAAACACACAGTTTCCACCAGGGGAGTCTCTGGTGAGATTTGGAACATCTGGAAACACACACGGTTTTTCACCAGGGTAGTCTCTGGGGAGATCTGGAATAGCTGGAAAATCTGAAAAATTATTCACCAGGGTAGTCCGTGGGAAGATCTGGAACATTGGGGAAATCTGGAAAACACAGGGTTGTTCACCAGGGCAGTCTCTGGGGAGATCTGGAAAATCTGGACAATCCGGAAAACACAGGGTTGTTCACCAGAGTAGTCTCTGGGGGGATCTGGACAGTCTGGAGATCTGGAAAACACAAAGGTTTTTCAGCAGGGAAGTATCTGGGGAGATCTGGAATATTTGGAAAATGTGGAAAACACATGGTTTTTCACCAGGACAGTCCCTGGGGAGGTCTGGGGAATCTGGAAAATTTGGAAACACACATGGTTCGTTTGTCAGGGCAGTCCCTGGGGAGATTTGGAAAACCTGGAAAATCTGGAAACACACAATTTTTCACCAGGGTAATCTCTGGGGAGACCTGGAATATCTGGAAAATCTGGAAAATCTGGAAACACACATAGTTGTTCACCAGGGTAATCTC